TATAGTAGAGATGAGGTGTCGCCAAGTTGCCCAGGCGGGTCTCGAACCCGTGGGCTCAGGCAATCTGCTCACCTCGGCCTCCCAAAGCGCGGGATTACAGGTTGAGCCACCGAGCCCGGCTTCTATTTGTTATATGTGAATCTGTAAATTCAGCCCATACTCAAGGGGAAAAGCTTACATAAGGGAAGGGCTGTCAGGAGTCAGGAATCTGCGGGGTTGTCTTAGAGGCTACCAAGTCTATCCTCGGGACTCCTAATCATTTGTGTTCCTCAAAATTTCAAAATACACACATTCCCTTTCCAAGGCTCCCAAGAGTCTTAGACCATTGCATCAGTGGGTCAGAGTTCAGAGCATCATCATCCAAACCAAGTCCAGGTGCCGCCGATGCAGCATCTTGGCACAGTTCCTTCAGTGCAGCACCTCACGTGGCTTCTTTCAACCTGAAGGTATGTGAAACCAAAGAGAGGAGGGGTCTGCCCCATAAGCACGACATGAATCGGGACAAGCATAGGACGGCTGTCACAGACACATCTGTTCACAGGTTAGGGTGGAACTGGGAGGCGAATTCACAACAATTCTGCATCTAGCTAAGCAGATTGGATGTTCTTTGACTAGGCCTGGAGACCTAGGTACAATTTTCCATAGTTCCAGGTTCTGCCCTGTGGTGTCTTCATTCTATATTGTCATCCTCCCTTTCTCCTAAAAGCAGCAGAATTTGATTAATTAATGAATTAATTAATTGTTTAAAAAGCAACAGAATTGTTTTCTCAGCCTCCTCCTGGCAATAGAATCTGGGAGTCCAAAGGCCTTTCCTCATCCATACGGTCTCTGTAGTTTTTCTGGTGACATAATACTGTTAAAAGCTCTGTGGGGCCAGGCTCAGTGCCTCAGCCTGTAATCTCAGCATGTTGGGAGGCCGAGGCGAGGGGATTGCTTGAACCCACGAGTTCAAGACCAGTCCGGGCAACTTGGCGAGGCCTGTCTCTACAATAAAATTAAAAATAGCTGGGCATGCACATCTGTAGTTCCAGCTACTCGGAAGGCTGAGGCGGAAGGATCGCCGGAGCCCAGCAGGTCGACGCTGGGGTGGCCGTGGGCATGCGTGCCACTGCACTCCAGCACGGGTGAAGGAGTGAGACTCCAACTCAAAAAAAGAAAAAAAAGC